CACCGAAAATTGGAGAGAAAGTCGCAGCCATCAATTGGAAACTGGGTAAACTTAATTCGATTGACCACTGACTAGAAAGAAAAGCTACAAAATACTTGATTGTTTGTTTGCTTCTGCTCCATACGAATGAAGAGAAAAACTACCACTAAAAGCTAAAAAGGAGACAAGTCAAAAGCCAGGCTAAAGGACAAAAAACTAAGAAGAGAGTCAGTGCTCTTCCTCTGCGCAATTCCTATTCTAATTAGCCTACTGCTCCTGTGCGGCGTCCGCCGCACGAGAAGAAGAAGCTCCCCGAGGTTTGCTTTCTTTTCCCTTTTTCTAGTTGCTGTCTTGGGTCAAAATTACCAAAAAGGTCTTGCATCTCCTTGTTCCAAGAATGCCCTTGATTGCCTGCTATTTGAACTCTTTCCCGATGACTGTCAAATTGGCCTTGATTATGATATTTTTATTCTACTCCCTGAAATAAATGCAAATTACGAAAAGTGAGTAGAATCTAATAATTAATTCACATTGGGTTAGGTAATAGAGGAAATTAATAATAAAATAAATGATAAAATCGCAACCTATCAGGGTTGCTTATGTCCGTGCCTGCGATCTCGTGCACTACGAGTACCCTCAATTTGTCTAACCAATCTAGGGTTAAAGCGTGAATATAACATTAAAGATAATTATATGCATAAGTAAGTAACAAAAGTACATATAGATCAAAAGCATGTATACATAACACAACTTTATCAAATAAATCACACGGTAATAGTCAGTTAGATACAAGCAAAAGGGAATTCCATGAAAGTATTTGAGTCATCAAAAATACTATATACCAACTAGATCAAAGGTTTAAAAACAACTAACGAAAAACTTTTCCCCTCTAGAGTTTCGTCCATACTCTATGAGAATAACACAATTCATATCTTAATTCAGGTTAATCATGCTTACTAACATCCGAACAAACCACATGAAGCTCTATAGAATCACATTTCTAGTTCGTCCAAGTCCTTTCTAACCTAGACTCTCATCTATTTAGTAGTCGGGTACAAGAATCCCCAAATAGAATAATTTACAATTCGAGCCGGTCGGTCCCAAGAGTAAATCATCCATATTAAAGATTCCTACCCGACATACATATATATCTTCCTCAGGTACCATGATAAAGATTTTTACACTTATAATGTGCACGGTTCATAGCTTATGCTCTAAAGAGCACTCATACCTTTAGACACATTCACGAAATCAGAACCATAACACCACTTGGCCCAACCTCACTCCGTGCAGAGACCACGCGAAATGGCTCTGATACCACCTTGGCCCGCCGAACCCTTTGGTTCACCTTAGGGTGAGGTGGGGCTGTCACAATTAGGCTCATTTGTACTCCAATTCTAAAGCTATTCAAGAATTTGCAAATTAAGGAATCTTGTCAAGAAAACCTTGAAATGTGTAAACATTAAGTTAACAGTAAATTTGTATATATGTCTGTAATCATTCTCCTCAAACTAAATATATCCAGATTGCTTTCAATTTTCTAAAAGATTTTCAGACTCAAGGCATGTTCTTTAATATTTGAATAATAAGTAAAAAACGAAACTCTTCTTCTGAATAACTTTAAGTGAAGTTGAATTTAAAAATAGGTAAAATATCAAAAAACTTCTCGTGGTTTGCCAAATGTTCAATTTAACTCTCTCTAGTTTGAAAACCTACATTATAACTCCTTGTGGTTTCAACTAAATTGAAAATTGGATAGAAAGCATCCAATCTAATAGTTGTACGTGAAATATCAATATTGCCCCTATATAAATGAACTCTCTGTGGTTTGCCGAATGTTCAATTTAACTCTTTCTAGTTTAGAAAACTACACTATAGCTCCTACGGTTTTGACTAAAGTGAAAATTGAACAGAAATTATTTCACGTATAGTGGCGCCAAAAATTGACAGGTGCCGAACCTGTGCAATAATAATTACCTACTCAAGAAAAATACAGATTTTGTATATAGCGGTGAGTAGGGTCGAATCCACAGGGACTGGGGATAGTTCGTTTCTTCTAGAGTTCAAAGTACGTATAGGGGGTTTTGAGATTAAATGCCAATTAAACAAATTAAATGCAGAAAGTAATTAATTCAAAGAAATAATTAAGAGAAGCTCTAGCCAAGGGTACACTTCAGAAATGGTTCATGCACTGATCATTGATTCGCAGATAATTCCAACTTTTATTAATAGATTGGTTATAGTTGTCATGCACGCGATAAACAACCAACCTTTCCTTAATTTATCGATAGCTAAGGCACGACCGTTAGCTATTTCTCTAACCCAAAAACAACCCTAGGTACGACCGTAGAATTTAATTTCTAAATTGCATTAATAATTAGAAAGGCTCAATCCTAACTAACAAACACACTACGAGGGTTTGTTTAAGCTAGATCGTATATTCCCCTGACATAAACCCAATTACGCCAGTTGCTACTGAGATAGAGATAACGAACAATTACGGATTCAATTACTCCTATTTAGCAAAAATAGCCTATATGAATAATTAATTATTGCGCACTAATCAATCATACACAAGGCCATAGCAATTAAAATCAAGGAACATATAAATACCAATAAATGAAGAAAATAATTAAAACAGATTCGATTTCACAGTAATTGTCGAACGAAATCGTCAGTTGTCCCCTTGACTAGAAGGAAGGCTTAGCCACGCCGCATAATTAAATCACCACACGAATTAATGGATTGCAAAGGCATTGCGGTTTTTTACTAGAAAGCAAGGGATAAATGGCGTTTTTCCCGTTGGAGAATATTGTCAAACACCTGGCGTGTGTCAGAGGCCAGTGAAAAGAAAGAAAAACTAAAGCTACCCTAAAAGCTAAACTAGAGCCGTCTAAAAGGATCCCCTTTTGCTTCTGTACGTCTTCCCTTAAAAAGCCAAAAGAAAGAAGCCTAAAAGCTATTTCCTGTGGTCCCCACACATGTGGACAAAGCCTCCAAGTTACTTCTTGGTGCAAGTCTCTTTACGTTGCTTTCTTTGAAAGGCCCAGATGACTAAATGCCTTTCACTAGCTTGTGGTCCCCACCAATTCAAGAGTCCAAGGTCCTTAGAAGTCTCCATTTTTCCCATAAAAGTCCCTCTTTTTTGGTAATTTTCTGCTTTGTTCCTGAAATTAAGTCCCAATACCAAATATAAGTAAATATTAATAATTAAAACAATATTTGGCAAGAATAAAAGGGGAAATTAACAATAAAATTACTAACAATTAACACTCTATCAGCAATATTGATATTTCATGCACATCCGTTAGATTAAATACTTTCTATCCAATTTTCAATTTATCAAAACCGCAAAGAGGTATAGTGTAGGTTCCAAATTAGAGAGAATTAAATTGAACATTCAGTAAATCACAATGAAATTTTTTGCTATTTTATCCTTTAAAAATCAAGAAAAAAGCTTGAAGGCAATCTTTTGTCTCTAACTTAAAGCTTAATGTCGAATAAGGGGGAAAATAGTAGAATAAGAAAACGATTTATTAATTAACATTAACCTAGAAATCAACGTAATCTAAAATTAAGAGACAAAAAACAAGAAGGTTATTATCGTTGTCATAAAATATTACCCTCTTGTATTGCTGCAAAGTTGCTCGGAAAGTGAAGGCTACTAATTGAGAATTATTTATTCGCGTCTTCGGATTGACAAGCACTAGGTAATGCCCTAGGTAAAGATGTTCACAATTACTCAAAGGTCAAAGCGGCCATTAACGGGTGAAATATATTGGGAATGGCAACGGAGAGGGCTGCGCTCCCCCACCCCTCGCCCCGCCCTCGCTCCGCCCTACTTTCACTACAGTGCTAATAAAGATTTATCATATAATTTTATTATAGTTAAATTTTAATAAATAAGTAAGTAATAAAATATCAATATATTATCAAATTATTATTCATTATAATTTTACAATTGAAACCTATAAAAACAATCAAAGAGAAGTAAGTGTAAACATCTGGAAATTTGAGGGATGTGCCATCACAAGGTAGTACAAGATTTTGCTATCAAGACATTCCTGATCAGATTTTGCTCCCACACTGACACTAGAAAACCTTTCCTGGCACACCCTCGACACACCATCACCCCAGCAGTTAATTTGCAGAACAGTTAGGGTACAAGCTAAATGCATAGCAGAGCATAGAAAATACCCCAGCAGCACATACCATCATACCTGTAACATCTGTAATCACAGGTAGAGCTGTTAATCGAGCCGAGTCGAGCCGAGTATTGGGCTGCCGAGCTCGACTCGAGTTTAATTCGAGCCGAGCTCGACTCGAGCTCGTTAAGAAAACGAGCTTTAAAATGTGTTCGAACTCGGCTCGTTAAATGTACATGTGGCTCGAGCTCGAGCTCGAGCTCGACTCGTTTATCACAAACGAGTCGAGCTTCACGAGCTCGAGCTCGAGCTCGTGCAAATTAACATTAATAAAAACCTATAATTTTTAATTTATATAATTTTAATTTCTAAAATGACAAATATGCCCTTCATTAACGAGTTCTAACGAGCTACTCGAGTATCTACTCGGCTCGTTAACTAAACGAGCATGTTTCGAGCTCGAGCTCGACTCGTTAACCAAAATTAACGAGCCGAGCTCGAGCCTTAACGAGCCGAGCTCTAACGAGCTTTCGAGCTACTTGATTGGCTTAACAGCTCTAATCACAGGGGATTGCCCAATGACGAGAGAAATGCTCAACACTCTCAGAGTTCTCCCTTTGTCAGATTCAAAGTTCGAATTCTTGGCTTGGCAATGGAAGGTGAGAAGGGTGTAGAGATGGGATGGGACGATAAAACTTAAAAAAAAAAAAAAAAATCTGTATCTCATGACACAACACATTTGACTAACTGAATAAGCACAAATACAAGATTGTATCAGATTCTGTATTCCCATTTTCCAGATGAAACAGGTCTTTTACATATAACTCACTAAGGTAAGTTTATATTCCACAGATACTTGAGATGCAAGTGTAAAGATCTGGAACAAAACATAAGTATATCCATCCTCAATATTTGAACAATCAATTTAATCAAATAGTACATTAATTTGTCATTAATACATAGCAACTTATTTATGCGTTACAATGACAAATATGACATCAATGTAAACAGAACCATACAGAAGATAACAACGCTTATGGCAGATGATCGTTAGCCTGACCATCTGTGTGAATTTCCGACGATGAAGAAGACTCCTCAATTTCTTCTGGTAACCATCCGTCTGAATCTCCATCTGACCATGAACAAGACTCGTCAACTTCTTCCGAGATAAGGATTTTCAGATCCATGTTTCCATAATCCATCTGTTGTTTCTTAATGCCCCGAACTACATCTCCAGCAGAGTATAGACACATATGCACCTCAATCAATTGAAGAGTAAAAGTATCCTGTAAACAAGAAGGGAGCTCTTCCAATTCCGCGCAACCCTCCAAAATTAATCTCTCAAGACTGGGAAAATGCACTCCTGTGCCCATCCACCTGACCATCGTCAAGGATTCCAATTTCAAGAACTTGAGTTTAGGGAAGATTTCCTCTTCTTCCATGTATTCAATGTCTCCCATGTCCCATTCCTCTTCCCCATCTGCTTGCCGGATTAATTTGAGAGCCTCAAGATTGGGTAGCTTTCTGATTGTGCAAATTATACTCCATGAGAAGTCCTCCAGTGTCAACTTTTTCAGATTCAAGGGGAGATGAAATTCAATACAATTTGCAGTAACTTTACCCAGTAGCAGCTTTAGTGATTCTAACTGACTCAGAGAGTCCATTGCCACGATCCTTGTGCCCTCACTAGAAGATTCCTCTGACTGTAGCAGACAGCATTTCAGTCTGCGGATATTTGGAAACTTCATCATCATCTTTTCCATGCTTTGCCCAAGATAAAGCTTTGGAGTGGAAAACGTGTGTAAATTGTATAACATACAGGAGCTTTCAGGATTTTCCTTTGCCAACCTAAGATCAATCAAAGCACCACGTACTTGTAGATGCCTCAATTTCTGCAATTTCCAAAAAATATCTTCCAACGATGAAAGAACAAAATCAGAATAATATGTTGTCACAGAAAACGTTTCCAAATTCGAGAGGTTTTCCAGCGAGGGTGGGATGTATTTGATCCAACCCGAAACAGCCAAGTACCTCAACTGAATGAGCAACCCTAATTCACATAGGAAAGTAAAACCAAGACTAATTTGTTCCAAATCCAACACTTGAAGAAGTTTCAGGTGACAAACAAAGGATGAGTTGTGTGATACTCCACGGCCCCCAATACCATGAGAAGAATGTAATAGAGAGCGTACATGGGGACAAAATATCTTTGACTTCACAAAATGCTTTGGCTGAGAGTGAATAGATAACCGATATGGGTAGTGTGGTTCATCAAAATTAAGAAATCCATCACATCCTCGTATCAAATGTAGAAAATTTTGATCTTCAGCTTTTCCCAAACAAAAGACATGCAACAAATCATGAATGTGACACGTCTTCACCCCGCCAATGGATCTTTGTTGCCCCTCCATAACCAAGCTTTTGTTGATTAGAGCTATTAAATAGCCTTCTGCTAATTTTTCAAGGCTCTCTGATTCCTTCTTTCGCACAAATCCTTCAGCCATCCACAGCAACATCAACCTCTTTACAGAAATTTCTTGGTCTTCTCTAAATGCACTGAAGTAAAGAAGGCATGGCTTCAAATGGTAAGGCAGATGCTCGTAACTCAACTCTAATATGCTCTTGCATTGTTCTGTGGCACCAATCTTGCTGTTTGAGTCTAGCCTTTCTGCTACCTCTTCCCAACGACCTTGATCTAGAGTCCCAAGAATTCCAGATATGATGACGATTGATAGAGGCAGTCCATTACAGTTTTTTGCTATTTGCCTCCCAAGAACACTTAGCTCTACAGGATAGCCACCTTCTATGGTAATTGACAGCTTCTTCTGTAGTAACTCCCAGCTTTCTTCTTCATCAAGTGGCCGAAGATGGTGAGATTCACCAATAATCCCATGATGTCGACTTGTTAAGAGAATTCTGCTTCCGTTGGTATCATCCGGGAAAGATATTTTCAAAGCATTCCATGCCTCAGTGTCCCAAATGTCATCCAAAACTATAAGATACTTCTGTTTCCTCAAGTGTTTGCAAAGCTTGTGAGCCAAATCATCTTCATCAAACTCCGAATATTGAGCTTTTGGATCAATGCATGCCAAGATCCCAAGCAACAGATCTTTTTTGCAATATACTTGAGAGATACAACACCATGCAAGAATATGGAAGTGAGATGTAATTGACGGGTCACGGTAAACTCTATCTGCCAGAAACGTCTTGCCTAGTCCAGGCATTCCCACAATGGAAATGATGTCCAACTGCAACGATCCTCCTATAAGTTGACCAATAATTGTTTGCTCCTGATCTTTCAGATCTACCACAGCTTTATTGATTGTTGAGATACTACCCTGTGATGGCACCTGGTGAAATACTCCACTCCACTTCCTTCCTGCTGTTTCAAAACAAATTACAAAGAGAACGAAAGATCATTAACAAAATCTGGAGAGCTAATATCATCATCTTTTAAACTATTGCAGGATATTACCTTGCGATGGCACATCCCTCAAACCATCGGTAGGTTTTTGGGCTTCGATGCTGTCAATCTCCCCTGTCTTAGTTTTAAGAAGCTTAATTTCTGCTGTGACATCATCAAATAGCATAAGAGAATAATATGATATATCTCCAACAATTAAGGAGTCAATAACAAACACTGCCTTGTATGCCACTTCCACAACATGACAACTAAGAGCTTGGAGCTCTTCAGGGTGGTTGCTTTGATCCCTGTTGTTTTCCAAGAATGATCTTAAGAATACAAGACCATCTTGCACTGTTTGAAGTTGAAGCTTTTCCTTATCTACGTGCTGCTCCAAATTATTTTCCAAGAATGATTTCAAGAATGACAAATCTTCTTGGATTGTTTGTGGTTGGAGCTTTGCATCCTGGCTGTGCTGCTCCGTGGCATTCTTTAAGTATAGCCTTAAGAAATGAACTCTATCCTTTGCAAAAGTAAGTATAGGATCAACTTTACAAGTTGCCAGTTCCTTCAGCTTTTCTTGGAGAAGATCGATAATCCCCAGCACATTAGTAGTAGGGAAGTTGAACCTTGGCACTACAGGATAGCTTTCGTCAACAGCTGCCTTGATAGTGCTTATCCTCCCCAGCAAACAAAAGAGCTTAACATCTATTTCCTCAGCTGAAGCTTTTTGAAGGTCATTCTGATAAAGTGAAAAAATTACAATCCCAGCGTCATTGACCACAGCTCCAATAAGATCCTTGATTTTTCCCTCTATCCCATCGTACTTCTCCTTATTGAGAATGTTTCTCAAAAATCGCAGTCCCTCAAAAAGCATCCGCAATTGATGCTTCAAAGATACCACAAAATAGGCAGGACAATTTAGTAGTAACTCCCCAAGATGACCTAGGAGAGAATCAACAAATTCAGCCACTATAATCACATCCTTCTTGGCAGACAGAGTGGGGGAAGTTGTTCCAGATTCAAGGACGCAAATATATGCGAGATGGGCTCGGTGATCAACACGCATGATCTTGTCTGTTAATTCAGAAATCTTTGTGTCCATCCAGTTGAGCTCTTGATAGTCATATCTGAAAAACCAGCAAATGTAACAAAGATGTGCTGCAGATAAAGCCACAACTGCACACTGCTCCAAGAGTTTCCTCTTGGGCTTGCCTTGCAAACTGGCAAAGAGAATGAAAGTTCTAAGGAACACTAGCTTCTCTTGAAGCGGTTCCAACAATTTTGCAAGTCTTGAATCACAAGCTTCGCCCCAGATGACAATATCCTCAAGGTTTTTTAAGAGAAAATTGAAGAGTTCCATGAATTCATCTCTCAAGGCAGAATTGGATTTTAAAAGGCTATCTACATACGAATTACGACCCTCGCTGCAATAGCCGTACCTTTTGAATAAAAAGTCCGGCATCTCAACATACAATTCACTGAATTTTTGCCTATAACTCTTTAAGATTCTTCTTAAATTGGAGATCGCCCCAGCCAATTCGCTGGGGGGCAATCCATGCTCCAATTGAGCAAGAAAAGAGCAAAACTGCTGCCAATTTTGACAATACCACTTATCTTCGAGGCGTCTCCACCGGTCACCACCGAACTCTTCCGGTATTGTTGGGTCACCACGGAACTCTTTCGGTTTTGTTGGGTTCACTAGAACAGGTTCCAAGACTGCTGCAAATCTTGAATCACAGCGTATACCGAGGCGGAGAATGAACTCAACATCCTGTTGGAAGGATCCGAGAAGATCAATGAATTCATCGTTCTCATGATACATCTCTTCCCATCCACCCGTCAAGTCATGCTCCCATCTCTTCTCATGATATTTTTTCTTTAGAAAGATGCATTTTCTTATACGGTATAAATTTTTCATCCTGTGGTAGTTTTGATCAAAGGCCATTCTCTCGAAATAATTCTCCCTTCCCTTGTTCTCAAAATTGTCGTACCATTTGGGGCGGAATATCTGAAGCCAATTGCGCTGGTCCTCTCATTTTTAGGTCTACTCAGGAGTAAATTCTATCCAAGTTGCTTACATGAGTTTCACTTTCAAGTTTCAACATCCTTGGATTAAGAAGAAACCTCTTAGTTATTAGTTATCTAACACTTATTCCACGGACCTCAGAAAAGTCTTGGCATGCTTAAGAAAAATTATGCATTCCAACGTGCAAATTGGTGTGAAATGTTCAATCCCCAAACCCCACCCCACGCAACCCAAAAATAAAAAAATAGAAAAGAAAAAAGAGGTTTAAACTTTAAAGTATTGTTTATATATATTTGTGGTTCTGCATATTACCACATAATCCTCTAATGTTTGAAAATATCTATATAAGCCCCTTACAGTATTATGTAAAATAAAAAAAAAAACTAGATGTGCTTCAAAAAGATATATAAAAAAGACAAAAAAAAAATATAAAGGGATTATTGTTCTTTTTCTATTTTCATGGTCAGTGCCTCACACTTGTATTTTATTTTGCCAAGTTAAATTAATGTTAACTATTCTAGTTTTCATTTTCATAGGGTAGCATAGTGTATATTCTTTCCAAATAGCAAATAGTTTTGTTATGCCATTCATTTAAAAGTTGTAACTTGAAAGATGAAAACTCATTCTTTTGCAATATAACCCATTGTATTAGTTAATAGCACAATTTTGCTATCTGTTAGTACATATGTTCATTTCCTCTTACTAAGAAAAAATTAGAATGAATTATGTTAAGTTTTTTAATACAATTTGTTAGTAAAGAAAGCTTAATTACAAAAAAAAAATTCCTATTTTATGTTAACAACTATAAGCTTTCCTTATTTGGCTCATAATTTTTAGTTGAAGATTATTCTAATTTCAATTTAAATGCAGTTTATTAATAAAAAAATTTTTACAGTAGCTAAAGATTGAATAAATTTCATGTATTTATAATAAAACTAAAAATTGAGCATCAGGAAGTCTATATTTTACTTTTCGTATTGCACAATGGAACATGTACAACATGTAGTAATAAAATTTGATATTGGGTTTGACCAAAAATGAAATTACAATTTTAACAATCCGTTTTGAAAACTAAATTAATTTTGACACAATTACTTTTATATTTATACCGGCAAAAATATTACAAATCACCAATTAAGATTGTAAATTTAGCTATTTCATGTCTTATGTGGAAAACATAATATATAATATTTTCAATGTAAATAATATCTTAGAATAGGACGAAAATTTCTATTATCAAATCTTAGTGTCACTTTTCATTTAGAATTATTGGAGTTGAAAGAAAAAAAGAGAAAAACCTAGGTGTTTCCATAGAAAAATTTTTAAAGAAAGACAAAAAAAAAGTTTTTTTTTGAAAGAAAAACCTAGGTTAAGCAACATGGTTAAAAAAGCTAAAGTCAATGGTTGAAAATTACATTATACATGTGTTTGTTATCCAAAGATATGCTTAGGAAAATTTGAGAGAAGGGATAATGGAGAGGAGGCTACTCCTTTAGAATTAGAATGCTATCCAAATGTTGTGCCAAATGGGCGTAAGAAGGACGCTACTTTCAAGTTTCAAGCTAAAGTTAAGGACTTTAACCCATTAAGTACACTTCAAACACGCTAACAACAATGTAAACACGCCAACACCAATGACAATACTATTGACTTATAACCCATTAAACACGCCAATCACAACATAGATCGTATTGATCAAACCTTTTACCCTTTGAAAATTGTATTAGTGAAGAAATTTCTTGGGGCTCAGAGATGTTGATTCATGTCTTAGTTCACCTTTTTAACTCAAATGTTGGCCACAAAATGTGAAATCACGCTAGGATATAGGATTTTATAAGTAGTCGTATTGAAAATTTTAGTTTGTAAAATTCAGGGTCAATTCACTTGAATATCCTTTCTTTTATGGATGGTGAAAAAATAACAATGACTTGAATAATGTTGCAGAGCCTTTGGGCCATGCTCCTTCAAGACTTCCATGACATGGTTGACGAAGAGTTTCTACGAATATTCTTGTTCCTCTTGTCCATATTAAAGCAGCAATTGAGAAACACAACTTAAAAGCTGAAAAGATTTATATGTTATGCATCGTGCCAAACCATTCTTTCATTTGTCTCCAAATTTCTGGAGAACTTTTCAAAGAATTATGGAGATAAAAGCTTCTGAAATTATACAAGAGCAGTGTGATGCTTAATTTGATTTTCATAGAAACTTTCGTGGATCTATGAAATTTCTTAATCCGGAAATATACACGTAATTAATACAAGATAGCAATTGTTTGAGATATTTCTTGAATGGTGCTCTAATTTTACATGCAAAGCGCTAGAAATTTAGTTGCTAAAAAAGTTTTACAAGTAAGGATTTATTGGAGTGATTGAGCAGTGAAAGGGTTCATAAGAGAAAAAAAGTGAAGCAAAATAGATGTTAAAATTTGGTATTGTGCATAACTCATGAAGTAATAAGACATCCGTACAAAATCAGATAGATAGCAAATACAGAGACGACCTCTCCTCTTTAGGTTAGGTCAGAAAGACTTTAATTTCTAACTTTTAACATTTCTTTCACCTTTTACAATAAGTGAATCGAGAAAAGAATAAATCGCACTACATTTTTGTCCACATGCAATTCTGTAGAAGACCCGTCAGTTCAATTTCTAATCAACATTGTTAAATTTTCTACCAGATTCAAGACATTAGCGTGTCTCAATTGGAATGCTTAGCATAGAAAAATATTGTGTGACAATATGTAATATTCTCTATAGTAAGGTGATGTGATGACAAAACGATAGGGAAATATGTTGAATTGATGACCTCTAGAAATTAGCCCCACAAGATGATCTGTGACAGAATTCTAAGCAGGAAAGTGATGTAATTACAAAATTACATTCAAATTGATGATATTGGCACGGCCTGATTACAGCCTTGAAACCGTTGAGAAGTAATGTAGAGACGACATTAGTGAAGTCATTGCTGGAGATATCTGTAAATCTTCCGAACATAATTTTTTTTTTTTTTCTGAACGTGAGTTGATTCTTCAAAGTGCTAATGGGTCCAAAAAACCAAATAGCTTTCCAAGTCTTGGAATTTGGAAAACTTCCGAGTTAGTCATGTTGGAAACATGTCACCTTTATATGCGTGTTGGGGACGTCAAGGACTTCCAATTTTCTTCAGAATTAGCTAATTATCGTGCTAAGCAGTGAGCCTTTCAAGAAATTGCAATTCAAACCAAGACTTCTCAATAAACGTTTTTCAAGTTCATTGCCCAAAATTGAAACTTAAGTTTCCCAAGCATGGTGGAATTGCAGTTTGCATGGTTGATTTGTTTTTAGACAAGTCAAGGACTGTCAGTCCTGCTCATTTGCACATAGAAAGTAGCAATGGATGCCGGACTTGTGATTAAATCTGGATTTTATAACAACTAGATTTTTTTTTCTAATTGGTGAACCGAAAGAAGAAAATTAAGACATTATCAAGAAAACTTTTGTTTAACTTTGTATCGGCATTCAGCATAGGACGGATTACTAGTTACGTGTTTGTAGATGAACAACAGGCCTTGTCATAGTGATGTCTCCGTTCTTGGAAAAAAATATTCTAAATTGTGGAAAAAAATATTAAATAGAGTCAAGTTTTTGGAAAAAAAAAAATTGTGGTCCAAATCAACCTATCCTTACTTTTCTAAATTGTGAAATAATCACAATGACCTGAATCCTTCTACAGATTCTTTGGGCCATCGTTCTTCCTTGACATAATTGGCGAAGACTTTCTGGGAAAATTCTTGTTCCTATTGTCCATTTTAGAGCAATTGAGAAACACAATTTAAAAACTGAAAAGACTTACTACATATTCATATAGTATCCAAAACCATTTTTTCATTTGTCTCCTAATTTCTGGGAAATTTTCAAAGAATTATGTAGATAAATGCTTCTAAAATATATGAAAATAGTGTAATGCTTGAATTGAGTGTCATAAAAACTTTCACGGAATTGTGAAATATTTTCTTGTATATGTGTACATACATACATACATACATACATACGTGCAAGCATAATATATGCAACCATTTTTTTTTTAACCTATTACAATTAGTTAGTCTAGGAAAACTAGGATTAGTCTGGAAAGGGCAGCTCCCAGATTGATTCCATGGAAGACCTATGAGTCCAACTTCAGCTCAACATTGTTAAAATTCTTGCAAGGCTTAACATGAGGCCCAACTGACAATTGTGTGATAGTTTGAATTAGAATCTGGTAAATAGCATTTAGGAAGGGCCCAAGTCCTAAGGCCCGCCCAACTGACATCTCTAATATTTCTTTGCACAAGAAAAAAAAAAACCATTTTCCTTAGAAAATGGTTTCTACATCCATATAATATCGGTTAGGCAGAGAATGGCAATGTATTTTCTTTAGACTTTAATGGCAATGAATAATGACCAATAAAAAATAACAATTAGATTTCTTTATAAGTATTACTAGTCGATTTGAGTCATTGGAGATAATGTTGCTTGCTTCGGAAAGTTATCGTTTTGATCAAATAAATTAAGCGTAAAAGATGAAGGACAATAAATTAGATACGGATAATGAGCTTCTCACAATTTTCTTTTTAACAAATGTCTTCAAATACTTAGATTCATGTAAACACACTAAAATTGTCTTGAAGACTATTCTTGGATCATGTACAAACAAGCTGACAAGATATTTTTTTTAAAATATTATGATGTATTTACCCTTTATCATGTACCCTTTGAAATTTTTTAATAAACAGCTCAGAGTTTAGGTCTAACCCCCCGTCACTTTTCGGTTATTTTTTAAATTAAAGAAAAAAAAAAAGCGGACAAGATACATAATCATTTGCACAGATTATGGAAAGCAAAAGATTAAAAGAAAATGTAGAATGAGGGAGAAAACATAAACCTTAGAAGATGATCAAATAATGGAAAATAAATAAATCATGAAATGAGCAGAATTTACAAACCTAAAATCATTCAGAAGATAAACCAGTCCATTACCTACAAGCGAATAAAACCCGAGAAAGCTTAACTCTCAAAATGGTGTCAACTTTGATACATATTAATATATTACTCCTTTGATTATCCCGCATTTGGATTGCTATTTTTTTTAGTCTTTGTAGAAAAAATTACTGTAGTGATTTGACATATGTGAAGTAAAATGTGATTGAAAAATGTGATCATAGAAAATATACCAATTTTTTAGGAGAAAGCAGCAATCCAAACTTGGTGGATCAATAAAGAAAACATGTGTGTGTGTGTGTGTGTGTGTGATGCTAGGGGGGAAAAACTGATTATTCAACGCATAGAGAGAAATTGAATAGATATAGACTGAAAATTTAAAAAAAATATATATATATATACACACACACAATCAGATAGACATTTGTGACTTCATAAGATCAAATGCTTCTTTGTAAAACTGTGAACTCTTATCTAGTTAGGCATTTTGAAAAACATTCTTCCTTTCTTTTCTTTTCTTTTCTTTTATGTGAATAAAAAGGCTGTAAGGAATTTTTCCCCCCCTTTTTGGGTCAGAGGGAGGCTAAAGGTAGCAAGAGTTTGTGCAAAATGGAATAGTCCTCTAAGGTCTAACCGCATGGGTTACAGATAGTGAACAATTTCTTGAATTTCATCAATTTCTTGAAAATAAATCATTACAAGAATCTCATTACAAAATACAAAGTAGTTGAGATCAACATTCTACTTACAAGGCGAACTTAATTTTAATGGTTAAATGGGGAAAGCGAACATCAATTATGCAAGCTTTTCAGACCTGGGAAAAACTAAAGAAGAAAGATAATGTTATAATTGGTAATTATGCAAAGGAATAACATCAATTATTTGATAATAGGGGGTAGAAAAAGAATGCTTTGCTTACCAGTTATGTAAATTATTGCACTGCCCTTCTTAAGTGCCTATGTGGATCCATTTCCTCGGTCGCCTTCGCAATTTGAACGACTCTTCGACAATCGTACTTGGTTTTCCGGTTGAGAAAATGAGACCTCCCATAACTAATCCGAGCACCAATGCACAGCCATATCCCAGGAGAACAGCTTTCCAAGTGAACCCATCAAAGAATTCAGAATCATCATATTGTTCTTCAGCTTCCCATGGCATGGCTGGCGGTGGTAGTGCCTCTGTATCTCCGCAATCTTTCGTCAGGGGAAATCCACGCAAGTCCAAGTTCCTTCTGTATGAATCATCTCCAAATGTATCAAAGTGCCTTCCTCTTGGAATGGGTCCGACAAGGCGATTTTCAGAAAAGTTTAAGAATTCAAGAAAATCCAGATTCACTAGCTCCATAGGAATGGTTCCTTCAAGTCGGTTCCAAGAGAGGTCCAGAGATTCAAGCATACTCAAATTCCCTAATGCCTTAGGAATTGGGCCACTGAAGTTATTATGAGCGAGAGAGAGTGTTTGAAGAGAATGAAGGGATCCGATATTCTCGGGAATTTGTCCTTCGAATCTGTTGCTTGAGAGGTCAATCACTGTTCGAGTTATTAAGACTCTTTCAAGACTATAGTCCACCCCTTTGATAACCAAACTCACAGAATGGACGTAATAAGGTCCTTTTCCTTCAAAAAATGAGTCCTCTGTCATATACTCAACTCCCTTTTGGTCATCCTCTGAACTTTTCATAGCTGCGAAGTTGTCGAGGATTTCCGTAGGTAGAGCACCAGTGAGCACGTTGTGGGATGCATCAATAATTCTCAACACTCAACAGAGGAAATGGACTTTTCGTCTGACAATTGCCAATTGCTCCGTGAAATCGATTAGATCTCAATATTAGGACCCCCAGGTTAGAAAGAATTTCCAACCAAACTGGAAATTTATCATCTATCTTGTTGTTCCCTAAATCAAGGAGTTCCAGACCTTCACAATTGGCTAAAGATCGTGGCAATGACCCTTGCAATTGATTGTCATTCAGCATAAGAAACCACAGATAGTTTCCATTTGAAAATGTTGTGGGAATGGTGCCAAAAAGCCTATTATTTCCCAAATCCATAATTTCTAGATACGCGGTGGAGTTTCCCAAGCATTGAGGAATTGGGCCGGACAAATTGTTATTTGACAAATCAAGAATACCAAGAAAACTTAAGTTACAGATAGAAGATGGTATTGGGCCCTGAAGTGAGTTCACATCTAGAGAATATAGATCTGGAGTAACAGGTAGTGGGTCTATATGGTACCGGTCAAAAAGTTATGTGAAAGGCTCAAGTAGAACAACTGATCCAAAGTCTTAGACATGAACCGGCTTGGAATTTTGCTGCAAATCATGTTGTTTGAGAGGTCCAGAAATTCTAAAGTCTCTGAATTTCTAAGAAACTCTAGAAACTCCTTTATCTGGCAAGAAGACAATCCCAAGACCCAGAAATCTGGATAGGAAATGCTCACATTGTTTGTAGTGTTCCATGGTGCTTCACTGTTAAAAGCGTTGTTTTGAAGCTTATTGGAGTCCACATATAAGTCTTGTCTTACCCCCGTAAAAAGGTTAGATGAAAGGTCAAGGTAGGATAGGGGCGGAATGGTAAAAATTGATGGAGGAATTGAACCGCTTAGTTGATTACTGGAGAGATCTAAATGTTCAAGATGCTTAAGGTTGAGAAGTGAGATCGGAATGTTCCCGGACAATAAATTATGACCAAGTGACAGCCTACTTATCTTTTGTGAAATGAAAAATTTATCTGGAATATTACCTCGAAGATAGTTATCGTCCAGATGCAATTCAGTAAGCTGTGTAAGGTTGCCAATTGATTCAGGAATGACACCGAAAATTTGACAATAACTTAGATCCAAATGATTTAAGGACCCCATGCACCCAATTGAATCTGGCAGTGCAGCGGAGAAACTTGCACGTGATAGGTCCAACTACCTCAGAGAATTTGAAATGCTGTAGTTCAACTTAGGTAAACTAACAGTAAGATTCTCATTGCCACCTAAGAAGAGAACTCGCATATTTGGCAGATGAAAAACATTACTCGGTAGATTACCTCTTATTCCAATATCCATGAGGTCTAGATACGTCAAAGATGAAGAAAAATTCACCCTCAACTCGGATGAGATGCTCACCGATAAAAGCGACAATGCTCTTAAATAGATTTTGATATCTTGCTAGTTTGTTATTTTGATAACTTTAAAGTGATTCAAGGTCGATAGAAAGACATTGTTCAGAAAATGTGAAATAGCAAGACATTTTTAGTTTAATCCCCAAGTGTTTCTTTTTTTTTTTTTTGTCCGGCCTCTTCTTATAAGGTTTGGAGTCTCCCCATAAATTAAAAAAAAAAAGAGACTATGAAATATAGAATATACTGATATATAAAGTATCCATTTAAACTCCATCCCCGAGTACAGACTAAATATCTTGTTTTTAGGGTACGAAAAGAATAATGGTTATTAGACGAAGTATGAAACTGATCTTTCAAGAGTTGAAAATAGTGAAATGACTAAAGAACGTTAAAATTTCACACAAGACTTAATTTGAACAAACTGCAAGCATACGTTCAAAAGTGTGTAGGTTCTTGTAAGGCTTTTATAATACTTTGTTCTAAATGTACAAGTTAAGCACACCAAAACAGAGGGAGTAAGCCCCCTTTAAAATTCTAACATTATTTCCACCCCTAATTGTGTAAACTTTTGGATAGAAATTTTAAAATTTTGTTGAATAAATTAATTAGTTCCACCTATTATTCTGTACGTTCAGGACACAAAATAGAAATACCTTTCCTATAAGATGTACACAAAACTGATAAGAGGGTTTTTTTTTTTTTTGAAGGAAATGATAAGAGGTTTGACACAGGCCGTCCTTAGGTTTAGGTAAATGTATTTTTTTTTCAAGGTAAATGTTTGATAAGTGACTTTGAAGCATCTTCATGATCAATAAATCCATTGGGTTTAAAAAGTGATGCGATTTGTTGCTCATCATTTGCATACGTTGTTCTACGCGTAATAATTGACAGTAAAATTAAAATTAAATATTAAATATTTACATTTCAATCTTTGGATTCTTTTTTCACATACTTCAACTGTCACCTGACTCTACCTATAAGAAAAACATCTTACAACTTTCTTTGAATATGACCTCCTCCACACCTATATATAAACCGTTATGCTGATCATAAATATGTCAAGCAAGAATGAAGAGACAAATAACATTTTTTAGTGCTTTAGTTTTCTTCTTTCTATTGCAACCTCAAGGAGTGATCTGTTTCACTTTCTTGGGAGATCATTTGTGCCGTCATGATGACACTGTTGCTCTGCTTCAATTCAAATAAATGTTTAGCATTTCAACTTATGCTTATCTAGATTATGAGGATTTGGGTCAGTATTCATATCCAAAGACAACACATTGGAAAGTTGCAATTGGGACGGCATCACATGCCACAATCTCACCGGTCGTGTGATTGGGCTGGATTTGAGTTGTGGCCAGCTTCAGGGAGTCATCCATCCAAACTCTAGCCTTTTCCATCTCTCCCATCTTCGCCGCCTCAACCTTGCTTTTAACAATTTCACCGGTTCACAGATTTCACACCGATTTGGTTCGCTAAAAATTTTGACCCACCTCAATCTCTCATTTTCAAATTTTGAAAGTGAATTTGCTTCAGAAATATCACACCTTTCCAACCTAGTTTCACTTGATCTTTCTTTCAATAAGTTTTTAAGATATGAACCTAGCAATTTTGAAACGATGCTTCGAAACTTAGGGTGTGTTTGGTTCTACAGAATTGAAATTAAATTGGAATTGGAATTCTATAGAATTAGAATTCTATGACTTGGAATTCCAAAACATTGGAATTCTTTTGTTTGGGTAATGCATAGAATTGATACAGAATTCATTTGGAATTCCAAATTCTTTGTTTGGATGGGAGAAGAATTCATTAAAAATTAGAATTGTTTCCAACTAATATTTCCTTACATAAAAAATATCTTTTTTTCACTATATAATAATTTTTTAACATTTAGCTAATTGTTACTAAAGCTTTAAGGAAAAAGCCAATTAGTGCCTTTAATAATTTATTTTTTCTTGCATTTAACTAATTGTTACTAAAGCTTTAAAGAAAAAAAAAACAAATTAGTTCCTTTTCTGCACAAAAAAATTATTCTTGTTTTTTTTCTTAATTAAATTATATCAAATAAAAAATAATTGTATATTCTAACTTAAAAAGTAATTAATATTTATCAAATTAAAACCTTGATACTTTTTTTAAAGTTAAGAACTTTAAATTTTAGAAAATCAAAAGCCTACTCTATGATATGAATTGGGGAGGAAAGTCATAACTTGTACCTATTAAAAATGTTTGAGTTTTGTATCTTACAAGAAATTCTAATAGATGAATATGCAAACAAAGTGATTTTAGCCAAAAAAAAAAAAGAGAAAGAAAAGAACAATTATACATTGCTACTATTTTTCAATAAATGGCCATTCTAATATTAATTAAGTCCGAATAAGTTCCTATCAAATTTCAACTTCCATGATGGTCTTGTCTAATTTGATAGTCAATAAACATTGCTCGTGCTAAAGCATTCCTAAATTGTGTCCACTCGCTAGTTGGTTGAACTGTTCGAATTTGATTCTCATTAATAGCATTTACACCACCATCATTATTTGGACCATCATCTTCCATTCCATTTTCCTCATCTTCATCATCATCATCAATCTCATGTTGTACTCTTCACATCTCAGTATCAACTTCATCCAAGTAAGGATCATTTGGTTGTTCTATGCGAATAAGATTATGAAGGATAGCATATGCATTAATTATCATGACATGAGTCTTAACATCAAAAAAAGATGCATCTCTCAAAATGGCCCATCACTTCTTGAACAAACCAAATGTCCTTTCAATCACATTTCGAGCAATTGAATGTCAAAGGTTGAATAACTCTTTAAAATTTTGAGGCTTGTTCCCGCTAGCAAACCATTCACTAAGATGATATCTAACTCTCCTATATGGAGCTAAGAAACCAGGGCTATTTGCATAACCCGCATCAACAAGAAAGTACTTGCCTGTTGTGGAGGCCAATTGTGTATTGTCCGCCTCGGCAACGGGTGCCTGGAGGGGGCCTTCCCAGGATTCGATCCCTAGTCCCTTAGAATAAGGGGTCTTGGGGATGCTTCCTGGTACCACTTGAGATTGGAGGAGGGCCTCCCCAGGATTCAATCCCTAGTCCTTTAGGATAAGGGGTCTTAGGAATGCTTCCTGGTACCACTTGAGCCTGGAGAGAGCCTCCCCAAGATTCGATCCCTGGTCCCTTAGGATAAGGGGTCTTGGGGATGCTTCCTTGAGCCAAGTGGTACCAGGAAGCATCCCCAAGACCCCTTATCCTAAGGGACCAGGGATCGAATCCTGAGGAAGCCCCTCTCCAGGCACCTGTTGTCGAGGCGGACAAATACACAATTAGCCTCCACACCTGTAATGTTGGACAACAAATTGTTACTCATTTATAGTTAAAAGAAAAAAAAACACTTGATATCTAATTGTCACATACCCTTGGGAACAATTAATGGATCTGATCTAACTAACGCATCCCGTAGAACTCTACTATCTGCTGCAGAACCTTCCCATCCAGGCAATACATATGTAAATCTCATGTCACGGGAGCATACACTGACAGGTTGTTGAAGCCTGTGCAATAATAAAACCTACTTAAACTAAAAGTAATTTCTGTAGATAGCGGTGAGTGGGGTCAAATCCACAGGGACTGGGAGTAAT